TTTGGCCTGTTCAAAGGGAAACTTTAAAATATATGTGTATATATATATATATATATATATTCATGGTGTCAAGTTGGCCCAATAGCAGTGCCACTTGTCATGCTTAGATTAGATTATAAGGTTAAGGTACAAATTTACTTATAAAATTGTTTTGCTAGGAACACTAGGCATCATAAACTTTTCTTAGGTATAAAAAACACACACAATTTTTAAAATGGTGTAAAAATACCATGGCCATTAAGTCAACCAATGTTGATTATTTAATAAACATGTTAAGCAATAAAACCATGCAAAAATACACATTAACTTTTCAAAATAGTGCAAAATTACACATAACTTTTCAAAATGGTGCAAAAATACAAAAAAAGTTTCCAATGACCATGAGATTTTTACACCATTTTAAGAACTTGATGTGTACTTTTGTACCATTTTCTTGACTTGTATGTTTGCTAGGTGATCAGTGTTAGTTGACTTAACGGCCATGATATTTTTGTACAATGTTAGAGAGTTTATGTATACTTTTGCACCAAAAAAAAGTTTATGGTGTTAGGCACCGATGATGAAATACTTCATGGGTGGATTTGTATCTTAACCCTAGATTATATGCTCTCTCTTGTCCTAGATACCACCTTCAGTCCTTAATATAAGAGTTAGTTTGACATTTAATTTAATCATAAATATAACACTTCAATCCATTTTATCTCTTATATTTATCTTTTTTTTCCTAAGATAGTGCTTGTAATAGTTACACATGTTAAAAGTTTCATTACATGGTAATTTTAGCTAATACATATGATTAACAAGAGTATTTTAGGAAAGACAACACCTATTTGTTACAAATAACTAACTTAATTAATTTCTCTAATTTGCTTAAATTAGTCAACTAACTTTTTATATTAAGGACTAGATGTAGTATATGAGATAGTTGGAGGGTTTGATTTTAAATACTCCTTCGATCTTTAATGTAAAACTTAATTTGAAAGTTGATGTTGATTATATATATAAGATTTATTTCATATGTTTATCAATTTTTTTTAAAATTAACTCTATCGATATTCCTTTGACAATAAGCAAGTAGGAGAGGAATGGGAGAATAAGGAAGATGATTATAGTGTTGTAGAAATATAAACATATCATATGAACTAATTTAATTAATATTCCTGGTATATTTAAATTAGTTAATTGGATCTTATATTAAGGATGAAAAAAGTATAAAATACTACTTCATCTTGTCTGCCAAATTTATAACATTTTCCTCCATATTATTCCTATTGATTGCACTCATTGAGAAGATTTACATTAAATAATAGTTTTCAGTGCAAGTAGCTAAAGAGAGTATTTTATAGAAATCAATACATATATTTTATAGATAATTTAGTAAACTAATTTTTACAAATTAATTGTCTAACTTGCACAACAACGTCAGGATTAATGTTTAGAGCCTTCACCAAGTCAATACAAAAGGATAATCTTTCGGGCATGATGTGATTCTTAAACACAAGTCCCTGTAAATTTTATTTTGAGGTCTCAAACTCTTTAATTCTTGATTTTGCTTATTTAGACCATTAGTTAATTTTGGAAAAACTATTTCTATATAATGAAGCCAAACAATGGCTTATTCTATCCTGGGAGGAAAAAACTCTTTTTCTACAAGAGGCCTTACAAATTACAAATGAGGAAGTCGTTGCTCATTATTAAATTTCAAAAGTTGTACCAACAGGGATTGGTCCGAGTGGTAAGCGGCTCGGTTCCACTTAAGTGAGGTCTCGAGTTCGATTCCTCATAGATGCAGAAAACCCCGCTGGGAGACTCACCCACCATACCCAGGTGCGCGATGCAGGTCGGATCCGGACGTAATCAGGACAGAGCTCTGGTGAACCGGGTGGGGAACCAAAAAAAAAAATTCAAAAGTTGTATTTGTATTTTATTTTAAGTACTTTCTATATTTCTTTCTCATGTCTACCTGTCGGCCTAACAAAATGTCTTACGAAAGCCCTGTTGTTGTTAAAGAAGTTTTGGGCTCCAACAAAAAACAAAGTTCTGGGCCAAAGGCCCAAATATCTGGCCCACCCCACATTAAGGGTATTTATTTTCGTATTTTCCTAGATCAAGATCTAACAAATCGTGTTTTTAATTATTTGTCTTTCTTCAAAACGTCCATTCTCATGTCAAAATCCTGTTTCTTACCTAAAGTTTGTTCTTTGGAGCCTTTTCCCATAATTTCCTTTTCTCATATGTGACACAAAGCCAGGCCTAACCAAACTCAAATTTCACTTTCTCGTGCCAATTTTCCTTTTGGGCTTGATCAGACGATCAAATCACAAAATCTTTCATTAATGAGCAGAAAGCGTTTTATTTTATTTATAAAATAAAGGGATAATTAATCTCCAGGTCCTTATAGTTTTATCTGATTTTTAATTAGGTCCTTATAAAAATTTTTCTTTTTATCAGATCCTTTTACTTTTGTGTGTTTTTAATTAGGTCCTTCTATTTTTTTTTCTTTTTATCAGGTCCTTATAGTTTCACTTATTTTTTAATTAGGTGCTTTGTAGTTTTTGAAAAATTATTTATTAACTTTATTCTTTAAAATTAATTTCATTTTTAAATTAATAATTATATAATTGGACAAAATAATTAATATAATCATTTAGTAATTAATAAACAATCAGAATAATAATTATAATTAAATATAAATTATTTATAATCATATTTTAATTTTAGATAAATTTATTTTTATAATTTGAATTTTATAATTATAAAAATTTGAATTGAAAATAAATAATATATTTGTTTAACTAAAAATTTTAAAAAATATTAACATAAGATTGTTACAATAATTTATTATTTTCAAAATGTTATTATTTGTAAAATAAAGAATAAAAACTACAAGGACCTAATTAAAAACAAAGTAAACAATAAGGACCTGATAAAAAGAAAAAAAATTATAAGGACTTGATTAAAAATATATGAAAGTATAAGGATCTGATAAAAAGAAAAAAAATTATAGGGACCTGATTAAAAATCAGTTGAAACTATAAGGACTTATACATTAATTATCCCTAAAATAAAACATTATATAATTGACATATGACGTCATATCGCGAACAATTTTTCATTTAGAAAATTACTACTGAGATGATTCTTTCATGAACTTATAGCATTGGGCATCAAGCCAGGAAAAACTTTGACCAAAATGGTTTGTAATGGGAACGACATTCTTAATATAATACCCATTTAACTAATTTGATTAGATTAAGAAAGTTAGGTAAGTTAGTTAATTATAAGAAAAGTGACACATTTTTCCTAAAACACCATAATCATCTTTCTTAATACCCTCCTCTCTCTTCTACTTAATTATAGTTGAAGGAGTATCTATAGGGGTAATTTAGAGAAAATTAATAAATATGAGAAATAAGTCTTATATTTAGGACTAAAACTAACTCAAAAATTGGGTCCTATATTAAGAATAGGAGGAGTAATTGATTTTCCAGGGCATGAACTATAATTAAAGTTGGTGAGATATGAGCTTCGGATGTCATATTTGTTAATTTTTCTTGACCCCTGAATTTAACAAATTTTCTGTAAATAATGTTTTAGATTAGACTCGGGATGAAATCTGATAGACTACTGTTGTCCCTTGTCCTAAATATAAAGTTTATTTGAGAATTTGTAGTTTGAATTTAAATATTACTTTCAGTCCTTACTATCAGATCTTGTTTGATTTTTATTTTGGTCATAAATAAATAGAAGACTTCAATCCACTTTTTTCTCATATTTATCTATTTTTTTCAAGTTGGTTCTTGTAATAATGATAGTTCTAATCAATACACTTGATTATATTTTAGGAAAGATAACATATACTTATTACAAATAACTAACTTAATTAATTTTCTTAATTTATTCAAATCAGTCAACTAGCTCTTATAATAAGGACCGGAAGCAATATAAGATTTAATTTTTTTTTTCCTGTTTTCTATATTAATTGTTTCTTTCCCATAATACTTCTATTTATCAGGGCATTTTTATCTTTATATGTTAAATTCTAATCACTGAATTATATTGGCATTCCTGGAAGAGTGTTACAACACATTCTCCAGATATAATTTCAGACAACCACATTTATCTTTCGAGTTTTATGAATTAGTTACGAGAACTTGCACTTGGCAGGAAAGAGAGTAAGAATATGCGGAAAAGGTTTTTTTTTTTAATTATAATTCAGGCACTTTATAAAAGGTCGAATTCACAACTTCATATTACAAAAAAAAAAAGAAAAAAAAAGCGCTTAAGCGGTATACTTGGCGTTTAGGCCAAGGGATTGATAGTGCGATATCAAATCAACTTAGTAATTATTTTATAAATAACTTATATTTAAAAACAATTTTTTTTATAAATAATTTATAAATAGAAATAGGAAAAATCCCAAAAAATCACTATTAAATTTTAAAATTCTAAATCAGGAATTATTACAAAAATGTATTATTATTTACTTTTCGAATATAGTTATTTTTTTATGAGTGTATTAATCAACACCAATTTGTAATTTTGGAATTTAACTATAATTTTTTTAGGGTTTTTCCATAGAAATAAAGGGGTAGATGGAATTGGGACCTGAGGGGATGTTTGGAAAACAACAGAAATACTTCTGAAAAATAATTTATAGAAATTGAGATAACTTTTTTACATATTTAATTTGTATATAGTAAAAATATTTTTAAAATTCTATCCAAATATCCTCTCACTTTCTGCCAAGAAATGTACCGCTGTCGTTTAAAGCTTTGAATGTCCCGAAAAACGCAAGACATTTAGTCATACCCTCATACTGATAATGGACACAACGTACGACGCTCGTTTTGGTAGTCCTCTGCTGTTTTGTCTTTGCCTGCACGGCACAGAGCCCCGCTCAGATGGTACAGAGATAGAGATAAAGCGAAGATTAACATGGATGCGACAAAACCAAAACCTCCCTTTTTTCAGCATTTTTTTAACGCTATATTTTTTGTTGAAAAGAAACCCAATGCTATATCTCCCCACCACCCGCGCGACATTTTTTCGAAGATTCTCTGTCTTCTCGGGAATTTACCTCCAACTTGTCTTTTCCGTCCCCAGATCATCCCGCTTTGTGCGAACCCAGGATGAAAATTTCCATAATTTTATAGCTTCCAAACGGATGGTAAAGTTTTTCCTAGAAATTCTGGAAATTATTTTCTGAGCTCGTTCTGTCAGTTTCCTTCTGGGCCATCTTGCTCTGTTTTTCTTAATCTTACTTGCAATTGAAGAAGGAAGGCATATAATACTCATTTGTTGCGTGATTCCCGGGGATCCCCGCGTTATTGCATAAATATATATCGTCTTTATTTTAATCCAAAGATTAAAACATTCCGGAGGGATAAGCTCCAAAATTTGACGTACAATTACGCTCGAAATAGAAAAAACAGCTAGACTCTTAGTGGGTAACTTGGGTTTTTTACTCCGCTCAATCTTTTAGTGGAAGCTGACCAGTTTCGTCAAAATTCCGGCTGCTAGTTGTTGACGAGGTAAATCATACAAAAAGCCCGTAAAAGAAAAGGGCTATACCTTTCCTTTTGTATATTTCCCATAATGGGGTCTGTTGAGGCGTGCTAAGGTCGATTTCTTGTAGCTGAAAAGGCCACCTTTATTTATATAATTTATTTAATTCGAAAGCCAAGGATTTGAAAGTTGGTTCCTTGTGGTTAGGTGAGGTCTTACGAGAGAATTGGGAGCTCCTGGGGGCTGAGAAAGGAGGAAGCTGAGATGGGTTCGTGCGGAAATCTTGCAAGGAGGGCGTTGGAAACTGAGATGCCGATCATGGTTAAGGTACACAAGAAAGTCACTTTGTAATAATTATTATTATTTTGAAACTTTCTCTTATTTAGAAGTTGAACTTGTGAAGTTGTTATTAATAATGAAGGTGGATATGAATTTGTGTCATGTGCCTGCAGATGCAGGAATTGCTTCGAGGAGCCAAGAATGCCGTGTCCTTGGCCCAGGTTTCTCTTCTCCCTGTTCCCAACGATCGTATTGTTAATATTATCTCTCAGTGATGACTATGGAGTTAGTGAAAAAAAGGGAAACATGTTACTTTAAGTTTTTTGGTCTCCAATGTCCGATTATAAATTAACCCTGCTAGCTTGGGAATTGGGAGTAATATGGAGATGTTGAGAGAAACGATAGTTCGTACTCCTACTCAAGAATAGGGCGAGTTTGATGGGGGGTTTTGATGATGGTGTTCGAAACTTGTGATGAGTGTGATGTAATAAATCTGCTGCAACTTCGAGGAAGTGTAAAAGTTGTTTTCTGCATTCACACACCATATTCCATGGATAATATAATTTGAGTTAGAATAGCATGGTCATGAAAATTTTGCCACTTCATTTCCTAGGAGGTGAAAAAATGCATACTAAAAAAGAGAGAGGCGAATTAGAACAAGATACAATGGTCATCATCTTTATCATTTTGGGCTACCTACTGACATTATTGAGGCTACTTTGGATAAGTTGTCAAAGGCTGATTCTCCTTAAATTGGAAGCTGAAGATTTATTGGGTGCCGGAATTGTTTGATATAATATTGTAATGCTTTGCTAGAGTACTAAAAGCTTGCAGGCTTAATTTAATTTTGTAAGCTGAAAGTGAAAGTAATGCAGCCCTGATTCTGGATCTGTTTCAACTGACCTTTGTATATGGGTCTGGATGTGTTTAGCTGTCTAATGGAGCTTTCTCAACTGTTTTTATTGCTCTATCTGCTGAAAGTATTTGGCTAGTTTTTTTAATTTATTATTTGCCTCTTAGTTGTGTCTATAATCCTTGATGGGCTCAATGAAATTTATGTGCTGCAGGGCGTGGTTCATTGGCAACCTCCAAAGCAAGCATTGGACAAGGTGAAAGAGCTTGTATGGGAGCCCTCAATTAGTCGCTATGGTGCTGATGAAGGTCTTCCTGAACTTAGAGAGGCATTGATCAGAAAAGTAAACTACTAAACTGGTTAAGTTTTATCCTACAAATTGCACTTGTAGAAAACTATGCCTAACTCATTGGATATCTTCATTTGAGAATGGGGGCATTTTTTTTTGGTTTTGGGTCCATTCAATATAACCTGTATCATAGACATAGGTGATAATATTATTTCGCTGAAGGATGATAACCTTTTTGAGTCATATGCGTTATTTTCTTCTACCTTCACTTGAACTGATAATTCATAGGCCAAAAAGTAGTTATGGTCAAGTTGAGGTAATTTGTGATATCTTATGGGATATATTAAACTACTGAAGTGTTTCAACGTTTAGAATCTGTAAGATTATATTCTGTTTCAACGTAGGTTCTACTGATGATTTATGATTGAGCTTTGGCATTTGCAATTAGATAACGTTGGGATTAAGTTGATCAATACAAATTCCGCATTCCAGGGCAGGCCTTTTGCCTCTGAATTTGTTGGGGCTCAGTTAGATGTGATGTTTGGCTTACTCAATATTCGGTTTTAGGTTGCTTTATATATTTGTCACAAACTGCTTTGTGTTTTCGACTTTTGGTTTCCTTGTTTTTTGAAAACGCCTTTTGTTTGGGTCTTTTGCATTGTTAATTATTCAACATGAGTGGATTTTTTTAATGGTTATTTGCATCTTAATTGTTTTCAGTTTCTAAAATTGACTAAATCTGAAAATGGATCTTGGTTATCATTTCAAACGATTCTCTTGTTTTTTACATGCAGTTGCACCATGAAAATAATCTGCACAAGTCTTCGGTGATGGTTACAGCTGGTGCTAATCAGGTGACTAATGATGCTCTATTATATAATTGTCCCTGTATGTTCACTATTTTTATCAGAACAGAAAAAAGAGAGCATATATAATTTTGAAGAAAAGGGCATGTACAAGTATTTGAATAGGCCTAGGATCCAACAGATGAGGGAAGCCTAATTGTAACCGTCAGGATGAACTGTACCTTGTATTGTTCAATTCATTATCATTCATAAGTGGATATTTGACCTAGTAACTGATGGCTAATGATTATTTACTGAGTTCTCATAGCTTTCCATGGACGGTTTGGTTTCTATCTTTCAACTAATGTGCTACTCGTTCAAAGATATTCCCTCCGTTCCTTATTATAAGAGACATTTGATGCTTATGGCATGTTCCTATATATAAGAGACACTTAAAGGTTGTCTCTATTTTTTTGTATTGATTTTCTATTTTACCCCTATTTATTTTGTCTCCAACTCATATTCTCTCTCCCTCTCACTTCTCTTTCTTTTAATAATTTAATTGTTCTCTCTTATACTCTCTCTCTTTATTAATGGGGGCATTGTTGGAAAAAACATTATACTTTTTACATATTAATTGTCCTCAACTAATTTTAACTGTTTTTTTTATCAACGTAATTTGATTATTTGTCTCTTATAATAAGGAACGGAGGGAGTATCTTCAGTATTAACACCTCTTACAAATGCAGGCATTTGTGAATTTAGTCCTTACACTGTGTGATGCGGGGGATTCGGTGGTTATGTTTGCACCTTACTATTTCAACGCTTACATGTCCTTCCAAATGACTGGCATCACCAATATACTTGTGGGCCCTGGTGACCCCAAAACACTTCATCCAGATGCAGGTAAGAATTCTGATGAAGCTTACTGTTTCCTGTGATTATAGTTATAGTGCTTGTTTGGGAGGGTTTAAGAAATCCCCTATAAGCACGTTTTATAGAATTCGAGACAAAACTCCTCTCACATATTTGCCTCGTATTCCGTAAATCATTATTGAAAAACTACTTATAAGCTATTCCAAACGGGCTCATAATCCAAGTAGTACACCCTGATGAGAAACTATCTGTGCAATGCAGTCTCTTATTCTTGCAGCAAAAATTGTGGACAATTAACTAATATCTGTCAGACATTAGTCTTCTCAATGTATAGTACTACAGTTCCTTCTGCAATTTTGTTCTCTCTGTTGTTTATAGAAGTTTTTGATTTTTCAGATTGGTTGGAAAGGATATTGTCAGAAACTAAACCTACCCCAAAGCTTGTCACTGTTGTTAATCCGGGCAACCCATCTGGAACCTATATTCCAGCGCCTCTTCTTGAGGTTCCCCGCTTCACCTCTTTGACTGCGATATTTGTTTCTGTTCTGATTTTGTCAATATTGGAGATTTTCCATTCAAGTTTTGTCTTTTTGGCTTTTCAGTTTCTTTTGAAAGTTTCAGATGCAACCATATGTGCTATATTTGTATTTGTCCTTGCAGGATAATTACTACAATGAATTTGGTAATTAACCTTTAAATTAATATTAGTTTTCCCTCCAATTTCTAAGCAATTTACTTTCTCTTATTTGGCCAGAGGATCTCTGATCTCTGCCTGAAAGCTGGCTCTTGGCTTGTTGTTGACAATACATATGAGTAAGTTGTTAATGCTACAATCACAACAGCAGTAATTTCATTTATTCGATGATTGGCAGAAATGATGAGAAAGAATGTCTAGGATATTACAGCCTTGTACATATTTGCCCCCCCCCCCCCTTTTTTTTTGAAGATCACTGAGATTCAGTTACAATGATGTTCATTGACGGTTGTCTCAAAGATTTTCTTACTAATGTCTCTAAACCTTTCACTTGCATTGCAGGTTTATATTCTAATTGTTTCTTCTATGAATAAAAAAATATGTGATGCAGGTATTTTATGTATGATGGTCTGAAACACTCTTGTGTGGAGGGAAATCACATTGTTAACGTTTTCTCTTTCTCAAAAGCATATGGAATGATGGGGTGGCGTGTGGGATATGTAAGTATTACTTCTTATATCTGTGATTATTTTCATTACCAGGGAACAAAATCATTGAAATTTATATGACCATTACTGGTGACACATTGGACATCATGAGGGCTTGACATTACCGGTATTCTTTATTGCTGTTAAAGTGATTCTGCTTGAAATTTTAAGTGTTAAAGAACTAATTTGACACTCCCAAGTCTGCAGCTTGAAAATTTATGTTGTGGGCTTTGTGTGTTTCAGAAACTACCTGTAGTACATTCTGTTAGTTACGTTTTTCTGCTGCATAAAGCGTAAACTTTCATAGGTTCATTAATGTTGATTGGAGGAATTGTGGACTGAAATAATTTGATTATTGCAGATAGCATATCCATCTGAAGTAGAAGGTTTTGCTGCCCAGCTTCTCAAAGTCCAAGACAACATTCCTATCTGTGCTTCGATAATCTCGCAGTACCTCGCCCTCCACTCATTAGAAGTGGGACCCGAGTGGATTACAGAGAGAGTACAAAGTCTTGTGAAGAACCGGGAAATTGTTTTGGAGGCGCTGTCCCCTCTTGGAGAAGGTTCTGTTAAAGGAGGAGAAGGAGCTATATACTTATGGGCAAAGCTCCCAGATGGCCACACCGATGATTTCAAAGTTGTTCACTGGCTTGCTCACCGGCACGGGATTGCTGTTATTCCGGGAAGTGCTTGCGGGTCTCCGGGGAATCTTCGAATTTCATTTGGAGGCTTGACAGAGAATGATTGCAAAGCTGCTGCAGAAAAGCTCAAGAGGGGCTTGGAAGAACTTGTTAGAGATGGTTTGGTGTAGTGGCCTTGATAACTTTCCAAGCCAACACCAAAATTTATATCTCAGTACATTCCTACAATCAAAAGTGAACAATGATAGAATAATTTGAAGAGCAAAATCCATTTTTCAGTGGATTTTAAATAATTGAGGGATTTTTACCCTCTACCTGGATAAGCTTTAGAGTAGCCAGGATTTGTCACTCTCATTTTTCAATGGATTCTAGTACATGCAACATTGTTTCATGCTTCATCATAGGATTAATTGTTCTGGTCTCGAGTGTAAATTAGGCATGGTCGATAGAATTATGTACCAAGTATGCAATGTGTTGACTGCCTTAGTTTCCTACAAAAAAATGAAAAGCATATTTCTCGTTTCTAATAAGCCAGTGATTGGTTTCATTCAATATCCTTACCTTGTACTCAGTGGTGGAAGGAAGGGGACTGGCGAGGCCTATAGACCCTCTAATGTTTTCAAAGTTTTCTCAGGGCTTATTTAGATTGATGTTGGTAAATATGACTTTTGTCTCAATCAATTTTTGTAAATTAAAGTTAGAATAAAAATTAATTAGTGTAACGTGATTTATATTTGGATGTAATTTTATGGAGTTAGTTTGACAAAAATTTGTTTAGATGATGTACTAAAAAATTTAGTTTTAGAAGGTTTAAATTTGAAGAAAAGTTAAAAGTTAGAATAAATTCAACTCTAAAGTGGTTCTTAAACAAAAAGTGGTTGCTTTTAAACCGTATCAAACATTATTTTTTCATTTAACTATTTTTTAATTAAACCTAACTGAATTATGAGACTTCCTAACGTTACTCCAAACATGCAGTTACTTTTATTTTATTTTCCGGTCTTCCTTTGCTTCTACTGTTGTTTATCTACTTGTCCTCCCTAAGACAATATAGCTGAAGTGAGCGATTTGTGAATGTCTCAAAAATAAAGAAAGTATGCTGCCACGCTACCCTATTGTTGTGGGAAGCATCTTATGTACGACATGATGAGCGCTTGACATTTGAAAATTTTTTGAGTACAAATTTGCATAAAAAATTTAAAATGGTAGTAATATTATTTTTTATTGTTAAAACCTAATATTAAGTGTTAAAATAATAATGTTGACTGTTAACATTTTTATCAATAAAGAATAACATTACTATGATTTTAAACTTTTAGGTACATTTGTGTATACAAAAATTTGCAGGTGGGAAAAAAATTTGCATCTGAACCCAATGAGCAAAAACTCTTAACTCTTTTTATACTCCCATAATAAAAAAATATTTGGATAAAAACAAAACCATAATTTCAAAAATGATTTCACGATTGACACGAAGTAAATATGTGGGAAGAGTTTGTCTCGATTTATAAAAAAATACATTTAAAAAGTACTTATAGGCTCATCCAAACACTCTCTATGAATGTAATCCTTATCTTTATTTCTTGTTATGAAAGCTTGTAATTGCGTGTTAACATGTTTGGTTCCATTAATAAAACAACTGCCAAAAAGGTTGGTGCATGGTCCTCAAATTATAACGTTGGGGAGTGCTGGCAACATCAAGAAAGATTATAGCACCCAACCGTTGGTGGTGCTTTCAGTTTTGCTGAAGAATCTCTATGCCGATGATCCATAAATTAACCAACTTTTGTGATATTTCAAATCGAATGAAGAACGAGAAAGAAAAAGAAAGAAACGTGAAAAAGAAATGAAAAGCAAAATGAGTAAATTAAAATAAACTGGGCCACTCAACGTTGCAACGTGATTTCAGTTATGATAAGCAATGTTGCTGCTGGGTGTGGGTCCAATCCAACGACTCTGACAATTCAAGCGCACAAGTGCGCGACCCGTGTTTCTGTGAATATCTGAAGGTTCTAGGGGCAGGTTCGTCATTACATTCACCTGCCCTGTCCCTTCCCTCGACGTTTAAACGCCGCCGTCGGACTCCTTCTCTCTTTACTGCTGCTTCGGAGCAAGGGGAGTTAGAGAGAGAGAGAGTGGCTGGGATCCGTTGAGCTTATTCTTTTTATATTCATGTGAACTGAGAGTTTTTCTGAACTGTGACTAAGTTGCTAACTTGAGGGATCCGTTGAAGAAATCCGAGAGAACGAGAAATGGGTGGGACTTCATTGGCGGGCTTGCAAGAGCACATCAAATTGGCGAGAGACTACGCTCTTGAAGGACTCTATGATACCTCCATCATCTTCTTCGATGGGGCAGTTGCACAGATCAACAAGTATTCTTTCATTTCTTGTTAAACTTTCTTTCTGGGTTATGAATTTTTATATATTATTGGTTTATTTTCCCATGGTTCAGCGTCAGCGACCTTGAAACCTTCGGTTTTGTTGAATCTTTTTCCTAGTGGAGGTGGTTTACGAAAATGGCGATTTGGTTTAATTGTTTAAATTATATGTTGTCTTGGGAGATTCACTGCTGAATGGATTAAGAAAAGCTTCTGCATTTAAGTATATCGTAGTTGCTGTAAACAACCGTATCATTAAACGTTGTGATGATCGGAGTTTTTTTCACTCTATCACTGATTTCAGCCCTACCGTCATACATTGAAGTATTTCAGTGTTGAATCTTGCATCATTTTGAAGCACTAGTAACGATAATTTGAAGGAAATTCATAGATTTATTAGGACAACACGTTTTGATATTAATTCAGCTTCTGATGATTAAAACATGATTTCAGGCACCTAAGCACCGTTGATGACCCTTTAGTTCGTACAAAATGGATGAATGCTAAGAAAGCCATTACTGAAGAAACAGAAGTTGTAAAGCAACTAGATGCAGAGAGGAGGGCTTTTAAAGAAACCAACACTGGTAGACGGCCTCGTTCACCTCCGATATCTACTAAATCATCATTCGTTTTTCAACCATTAGATGAATATCCAACTTCATCAAGTGGTCCCATGGATGATCCTGATGTCTGGAGGCCACCCAGTCGAGATAATACAAGTAGAAGACCCACAAGGTCTGGTCAAGTGGGCACTCGGAAGTCACCACAAGATGGGAGCTGGGCTCGAGGTGCTACAAGAACAGGTACTACTGGTCGTGGGGCAAAGAGTGGTGCTACAGCCAAGGTTAACTCAGGAGCTCGGGCATCAACTACAGGAAAGAAAGGCACTGGTTCTGGAAAGTCTAGCAAGGCAGATTCAGTTGTAAGTTCTATAATGCTATCTGATTGGCATGATATTTTTTGGACATTTCTGCTCCCGAATTTGGTTTCTTCTGTAAAGTTTAATGTAGAAATTCATTGTGTATGGATGCTATTTGTAATCTAATGGTCTTTGGACTCAACCAAAAATCAATAATTTGATTGCCATGAGTAGCACCTTTGCAGAATATTTTTCTTTTAAGATATTGCTTATTCATGGGTGAGTGTGCTTAAAGCTGGTTTATATTGTCACATATATCCCTCCTAAGTTTTCCAGTTTTCAAGCAAACAATTGGTTCAATGTTCAAGTTTCTCCTAAGCTGGTTTATATGAGCTTCGTTTTCTTTTTCTTTCCCATCTTTTCTAATGTATACATTTTTGCGGTAGATGGGAAGTTTGGGGCCCACTTCAACACAAAAAAATTATAGGCATTGCTACTTGTTCGACTTTATTCTTTTTGTTGGCTATATGAAACATCAAGCTATAGGGTATTATTGGATAGAAAGTGTGCTGAGTTCAACCAGTTTTAAAAACATTTATTCTGTGTTTGACTATGCGTTTGTTCTGGCCAAAAAGGCAGGTTCGGCTGAAGACAACATGTTACAAACATGCTATTAACCTCGTATATTTACTGCTGTGTTCTCACAATCTGTTTACTTAATGGATAGAATGGTGATGCTGAAGATGGTAAATCAAAGAAAGGACAATATGAAGGTCCTGATCCAGACTTGGCTGAGATGCTTGAAAGGGATGTGTTGGAAACCGCTCCTGGGGTGAGATGGGATGATGTTGCAGGGCTAACTGAGGCCAAAAGACTTCTAGAAGAAGCTGTTGTTCTTCCCTTGTGGATGCCTGAATACTTCCAGGTATATTTTTAATTTTGAATTCTCAAATTTTGGCATGCTGGACTTGAGCATTTTAATTTCAGTATATGATTTTGTCCAAGTAAGAGTGATAATTTGGTATCCTGATGTGAAATGATTTTTAACTTGTAATTGTGAGCGTGTTAGCACTATCTACACCCTAGTTTTTCAATCTGGTGACATAGATTTCATAAAATATGCTATTTCATTCACATGACCATTGTTGGTGAAGTCTCAGGAAATAGGTATATGCAGATGAATTTATTTTGCTGAATCAAAAGCTCACAAGGCATAGTAAACTTGGTATTAAAGTAACTGATATTTTAATTGGCCTAATCATATCAGCTTTATTGTATCAACACATTTGAATTTCAATTATTAAGTGCTTGTCTTCTCTCTGGTTATTCTGCCTACCGAAATAAAGATTTGATAGTGCGAAGCTTATGATTTATATGCTTGCAGGGAATTAGGAGACCATGGAAAGGTGTTCTTATGTTTGGTCCACCAGGAACCGGGAAGACACTGTTAGCTAAAGCTGTTGCTACTGAATGCGGGACCACTTTCTTCAATGTTTCCTCTGCTACTTTAGCTTCAAAATGGCGTGGGGAAAGTGAACGGATGGTGCGATGTTTGTTTGATCTTGCAAGAGCCTATGCACCAAGTACGATTTTCATTGATGAGATTGATTCTCTATGCAATGCTCGTGGGTAAGTCATTATATTTTCAAGTGCTCGTCTCATGTAATAGCTTTTCATGAGCTTTTTCTCAACATGGTTTTTTTAGTCCTTGTTTATGTGGCGCATATATCTTAGTGGTCTCTATTTGTGTCTGGTTCAAGGATTCAAAGATTAACACTGCTTCTTTCATATTGCCACTTGACCCTGAGCAATACAGCACTGATTCAGTCCTCTTCTTACTCTTAAACTTGACCTCTGATTGAATTAACTTTACGTCATCAGGGCATCTGGGGAGCATGAATCATCTAGAAGAGTAAAATCTGAACTTCTAGTTCAGGTTGATGGTGTAAATAATAGCTCCACAAATGAGGATGGGACCCGAAAAATAGTAATGGTTTTGGCTGCCACTAATTTCCCATGGGACATAGATGAAGCGCTAAGGTTTGAGTTCCCTACTTCTTTTTATACTTAATATGATTAGTTTTCACTAATAAAAAATAAACAAAAACTGGGGACTATTATTGGTAATATTCTTCTTCCAGAAATTCTCTTTTGAGTGTACAAGCCTGCTTTTGCTGATCCCATGTGAGCTCCATGAAATGCAGGAGGAGACTGGAAAAGCGTATATATATCCCTCTTCCAAATTTTGAGAGCCGTAAAGAGCTAATCCGAATCAATTTGAAGACTGTAGA